GACGTTTTTTAGTCAGTGCTATATGCCTTTATCAGAGGACATGAAAACGTCGCTGTACCCCCAGCCCCGCTGTACCGCCAAATTCATGCTCGTCCGAAAGTAGACCGTACAACGGGTTTGACTGTATAGGCTGTCAACCAAAAGATCGTGGGTTTCAACCTCGCTAGGAGCCAGACGTTATGTTTGTTAGTGTTTGCGCGCCTGATTGAAAAGGAAGCCTTAGCAGTTACTTGGTGCTGCGAGAGATTTGCAGACTTTTTGGTGGGACTGCCAAAATTCCTGACCATTTATAACAGTCCTGATAGCCGTGTTTACTGAATGAAAGGGCTGGGCCGGCCTATTGGTCAGCGTGTCGCGTGCACAACACTTTCGCAAGGTAAACACACACACACACACACACACACACACACACACACACACACACACACACACACACACACACACATACACACACACACACACACACACACACACACACACAAATAAAATTTGTTGAATCAACAAACAAATCTAGCTCAACAGTTTGTAATGTGAACAGGCACCACTGAAACTTAAAAAATAAAGAAGGATTTCGTTCTGTGGCAACCAAACGTTTTAGTCAAGCATGTTAAAATGAAACAGTTTTGTTAAAATATGGAGAAAAATTATACAGAACTTTTGTTAGAAAGGGAAAAGTTCAAACACAAACATAAGAGAATCTGACTTTAAAACACAGTCACAGTAACGTTATTGTTTCTGTGCAGATGGTGTGCTAACGTTATCTGTGTGAAAAGAAAGCCTTAAAAACATATTAACTCCTACAGTCGATGAATCCTTTTAAAAGGAAAGGATCTGGTGTTATTTTCAAAACCCTCATTATTAAGTTAGTGAACACCTCCACCTGAATTCTCTCAATTCTGTTCTCAAATATCAATTTGAAGTAAACAGAAAATGTAAGAATTGGTCCATCTCGGTCATTGCTTAAAAGCACATTATAGGCCTATAGTTGTTCTTCCGAGAATCACAGCCAACGACGCCATAAGGCTGTCCCCGCAGAATTATGCAAATCTAGATGGCCAAATTATGCAAGACAAATGCATAATTATACAACAATTATGCAAGTTACCGTAACGCCATTCACGACATGTTTTGCCCTTTTTCAAAAAGAATTTTCATGTTTTAGATCTCGGTACAGAAGAACTGAAAACAACATATCAGTATCAGTAGTTTTTTGTGCATTTGGAAATATACACATCAGTCAGGACCCCCCCCCCCTCAAAATAAAAAAAAATTATTTAAAAAAAATATATATATATAATCTCTGTAACTTTCAGCTGAATGAAAGAAGGAAAACATTTGTTTGTTTTTTTTAAAAGAGACATCTGGACCTCTGATGCTGGCACATCACTAAAACCAGGGACATCTGGCAAACATGAAACATCAGCAGAAATGAGAACAACTTTTGAGGTATTTAAAAATTGAACATAATAATAATAATAATAATGATAATGATAACAACAACAATAGTTATAATAATGGGATTTATATAGCGCCTATCCACGCCCAAGAGCATGCTCTATGCGCTTTACAACTATTATTACCCCAGCAGACCCTCTGAGAACACTCAGAAACATTCTCGGCTTCCGCGGAAGCATACAGTGCAAGCTGTGGATTTCACGCGCTCAAACACTATCAAACTGACAAGATCGTTCTCTGTCTATAGCCGGGTACCCATTTCCGCCTGAGTGAAGTGTAATTTGTGCAAGTGCCTTTCCCAAGGACACAACGTCGGGCTCCTGACGGGATTCGAACCCACGACCTTACGGTTGCGAGTGCGAGAGCCTAACCACTAGGCCACCGACGCCACGAATGAGATGCCTCCCACGACGAGCAAAAGTTACACTACCAGGCCAGTGAACGCTACTATTCCCATGTTTTCAGTGACATCAGCAACTTTACTGAAAGTTTGTGTGATAGACAAGACACCAGACACTCACCCATAAGCTGTGCCGTTCATAGGTGTCTTGGGGGAATCCATTGATTGTCATTTTCTCCCCGCCTTTTTGGTTGGAGTAGCCAATTTTAGAATTATAGACTTATAAAAATGTGAGGCAGCGTAGTGGAATCAGGATCTCGTCAATTTTTGGGCATGTAGAGTTATTGGAATCATCTTAAAGCTTGTTCATTAGTCTTGCTTTGGTTGAAAAAAATATCC